AAGAAAAAAATTATCTTAAAATTGCACGTTCAGAAAGTGAACGCAGGAAGAGAACCAAATACAGAGTATTACTCCAGTTGTTTGGTTGTCTAAACAACTCATTTAGAGGATGATCTGGGAGGACACCTGCTAACTACTCACACAGTTTCATCTTGAGGCAGCAGCCATGAGGATGATTCTGACATTCCTATCGACATACACCACAGTACATTATTGTTATTGTCTTTTGGGGAGAGTACCAGGGATTGAACTCAGGGGCACTGGACCACTGAGCCACATCCCAGCCCTATTTTGTATTTTATTTAGAGACAGGGTCTCACTGAGTTGCTGAGCACCTCACTTTTGCTGAGGCTGGCTTTGAACTTGAGACCCTCCTGCCTCAGCCTCTGGAGCCACTGGGATTACAAAAGTTGATTGAGCCCTGGTGCCGGGTCTTGCATGTACTGGGTATTTATTCACACACATGCCATGACATTTAATGTCCCATCAGCCCCCTGAGGTGAGTGGATCACTGTGAACCCATTTTACAGGTAAGGAAGTGGAGACTCAGAGAGGCAAAGCTCCTTGACCCATGCCTGGCAAATGACAGCCTCAGGCAGATGTGGTGCTGGCCTTCCTCCGTAGTGAGGACCGGATTAGTCGTCAGATAGGATCCACTGTCAGACAGGATGTCTCCAAGAAGAGTGGCCAGGAGGTGGCCCCAGGCACCTGCCCTCCTTGGTGGCTGCAGCTTGGCTGGCACCCAGTGGGGAAGGAAGGGAGTCCCACTCAGCCACTTCCAGAAGGCTGAGATGGCTAGGGGAAGGGAAGGGGAGAAGGCTGTCAGGCTGCAGCCTGGAGGAGCTGCTCACGGGGAGCAGCGAGGAATTCAGACAGAGACGCCCTGAGCAACAGGCTGCAGGGAGACCGATGGGAGGGAGGATCATGATAAGAAATGTCATGCTGCCCCGTGAATCGGGTCTCTCGCACCCTCAATGAGCCGCTAACCACCTGAGGCTCCTCCATTGAGCTCCATGCCGGCCCTGAAACTTGCTTGTGTTTACATAGACCCGTCTCTTTCTCTTAATCAAACACATCGGCGTTGAGCATGAGATGACGTTCCGATGAGTACAGAAGTACACCCAGGGCTCTGCAGGGTTGAGAACCATCACTCCCTGAGAGGGAGAAGGGTGTGGGGAGCAGTGATTAATCTCATTTCTCCGGGAACCCATTGCCATTCCCCATTTTTCTTTCTTTCTAGACCAGTATTTGGCAAAAAAGAAAGGCCCCGTACCCACAGGGTTTGCAGGAGGCTGTGGGCTTATGCCGTGCCCAGGATCACACGTCTCAGTGAGGGGGGAGGAACCCAAACCGTTCTGTCTCCATTTCGCCCATGTGTGTCAACTTAACCTGGAGCAGTGTCCCACCAGAGGACAAGGCACCAAGTGAGAAGGTACCCCTGTTTGCCGGTCTGCTGATCGCACATCTCCCGTGGTGGACGGCCCTTCAGGAGGACAGGAACCTGCCTGTGTAGCTACAGATCCCTAGCACCTGGCGCAGCTCCTGCCACTGACAAAGCACTCAATAGACGTCTGTGGAGGAGGGAAAGGGGGACTGACACCTGGGAACGCAGCAGCTTTTCCTGGAAAACTCTGGCCTCGGCCACGGGCGTCTCTTCTTTAGTGTAATGGTTAGATCACCCTGGCTCACGAGCCCAGAGCAAAACCACCAGGAGGAAGAGAAGCACAGAGCGGAATCCTAAAAGGGCACAAAAGGGCCTAGCTTCTCAGTCTCATTCATTCTCTCTCTCTCTCTCTCTCTCTCTCTCTCTCTCTCTCTCTCTCACACACACACACACACACACACACACACATCTGCACGCACACAATACACCACACTAGTGTACTAGAGAGACAGACCATCCATCTGGCCATGATAATAGGGCTAAAGACAGCATCCCTAAAATTATTTTTCCATTAATAATAACAATTAGTATCCAGCACTGTGTTCCGGGATTGTTTGCTGTGTACCGCTTCGTTTACAGGTAGCATTATTTTATGTCTATTTTCTAGAAGAGCAAACTGAGACTTGGAAGGGTTAAGTGCTTTGTTCATGCTCCACAACTGGCCAGTGGTGAAGACCAGGCTTAGAGCCCCTCAGCCTGCTGCCTGCCCTCCCACTCGGCATGCTCTCAGGGAGCCTCCCCATGGGTCTTCAAATTGCCAAGGTTGCTGGATTAAAAGGCAGATTCCCAGAATCAAAATGGAGCAAATTATGTAATATGCATTTATGAAAATGTCAAAATGAACCTCATAATTACATAAAACAAAAAAGCACTAATAAAACATAAATTGATTTAAAAATCCCCAAATGCCGATTCCCAGGCCTGGGGGCTGAAGTTATCAGAATCTCTGGGAGGTGATTCTGGAAATCTCCATTTTTTTTTTTTTTTTTTTTTTTGGTGGTACCAGGGATTGAGCCCAGAGGCAGTTAACTTCTGAGCCACCTCCTCAGCCCTTTTTATTTTTTATTTTGAGACAGGGTCCCTAAGTTGCCTAGTGCTTCACTAAGTTGCTGAGATTGGCTTTGAACCTGTGTAAGACTCCATTTTTTTAACCATTAACCCATGTAGTTTGGATGTGCACTAAACCTTGTGAACCAGCACTCAAATATGCTGCATCCCCCTTGTGATAGTATAGAATCTCTAGCACCCCACTTCTTAGCAACCAATGGATGTGGAAGATCAGATAAAGAATGAAGGAAAGGAGGGAGACAGAAGGAAGGAACTTGCCCCCAGTTAGTCTCCATTCTAGTTCGGGGGTAGGGGAGGCAGTCAGCTCTGCTCTTCTGGTTTTGTGGCCGGCAGCTTCCCCAATTGCTCAGGGGCCCCTCTGTAGCCAGTGATGCCTGCCCAGGAAAAGCTGATTAAGCAGCCTGTACCAGCAACAGCAATGAGGTGACATCTAGCTGTATCCAGGACTCAGACCTGAGTGCTGTTCCCTACCCAGATCAGGACACTGCTGCTCAGGGTCAGCTCCCAGTGGGCAGGCTGCAGGGGAAGAGTCAACCAACAGACACACGGAAGGGAGGAGAAACAGAGAGCAGACCTCTAACTCCAAACGGGCCACAGGAGGTTAGAATAATGGAGAAGGTTCCATGCTGCAGGAAGTGGCCTGAGGATGGGGCTTGCTGAGTCTCCCAGGGGATGTCCACTGCTGGTTCTCACCAGCAAAACAAGGGGATGTCCACCCTGGGTCTCAGCCTCCTCTTTGTAAAAAGAAAATAGCCATTATTATTGGAAGCCTATTAATACTGTCATCTATGATTTATTGAAAGCTTTTTGTGCATCAGACACTGTCCTGAGTCAATCAGTCAATCTTCCTTACAAATATCTATGAAGTCATTTTGTTCTCATTTGACAGATGAAGAAGGTGAGCCTTAAGAAGGCTAAGCCAGTGAGCGACCTTCAGGTAGCCAGAGAGGCTGAGATCTGATCCCAGGTCTGATCTGAGATCAAAGCTTGTCCTAATAACTACTCATTACTTCACCAATGTCCCTCCCACTCTGGCTTTTAAGATTATTTGCCCCAAACAGCAGGTGTTCATGGTTCAAAGGGAGGAGGTACCACTGTATCTCCCCAGCCCCACATCCTCAGCCCTGGTGAGGAAATGCCAGTTCATCTGACAGCAACTCGGCAGAGACCTAACATGTGAGTGCACAGGGGCCCCAGAGCTATCTGACCAATAGATCAACTCTCAGCCTGACCAAGCATGGCTCCGAAAAGCAGATTCCTGTGCTGTCATCCACTGCCCAAGTGTCTAGACTGAAGAGACCCTCTGTACAATGGGTAGCAAGGGGGTTTCAAGTGCTACAGGGCTTCCTGGAAGACCCAGACCCCTAAGCTGGTCCCCACTCTAACCTCCCCTCCTAATATCTGTTCCTCACTTATTCCTACTTCTATGTCTTCTTCAAACAGGCCACTCTCATTCCCACCTCACCACAGGGTCTTTGCACTGCCTGTGACCCCTGCTTAAAAAAGGTTTATTCTTTCTGCCTAGAAACAGCTTTCGCCAGATCTTCATAAGCCTTCCTCCTCCTCCTTGTCACTTATATCTCAGATCATGGTCCCCTTCTCAGGGAGGCCTTTCCTGACTGTCCATCTAAATTGGCACCCTGAATCCTTTCCTGCCCATTACCTCTCCCTGCTGAGCTTCCTTCGTGGTGTTTAACACCATGTGAGATGATTTTACTCATTATTTGCTGATGTGCTAAGAAAGTGCCTTGCAAATGGTAGGTTCTCCATGTGCATGGGTGTGTGTGTGCGTGTGTGTGTATGTGTGTGTGTGTGTATGTGTGTGAGTGTGGTGTGTGAGTGTGGTGTGTGTGTGTGTGTGTGTGTGTGTGCTGTATGAATGGAAAAATGAATGAACGGGAAGTTTACTCACTTTGTGGTAGTCAGGATCCAGGAGCCCGTATTCAAGTGTCCCCCTCCTTCTGGTTAACAAGGGCAGAGACCACACGAGACAGCGCTGAGCTTGGCAACCACTGCACCACCACCCAGGAGCTGTGTCCACACACAGCTGGGCATTGTTCCAAAGATAAAAAGGCACTAATTGCTTTTCTATAGGGAGGTAGGAACACAGTCCCTCCATGTCCCCTCATCCTGAGGGTCTGCTTTGTCAGATCTGTCACTATGTTAATTGGTCCTGCCTCACCCAGCCAGCATGGGCTTCATCCTGCATGTTGGGGTGGTGACAGGTTCCTCTACAGAGAAGACAGGTTCCAGAGCGGTGCCTGTGTGCACATCTGTGCGGGCAGAGGTGTGTGTGTGTGTGTGTGTGTGTGTGTGTGTGTGTGTGTGTGTATAAAGCGGCATTCTGGGAAGGGTTAACTGGCAGCCAGGCTGCTCAGGGACCTCAGACTGGCCAGGCACGGGAGGGGTGGGCCTGGAAGGTGGAGCAGGCTGGGCTCACACCAGCTGCCTTTCCACCCCAGGAGTGCAGATGCCTGCCGGGGCGCAGAGCTCAAGTCGCCCTTAGGGATGGCTAAAGGAGGGCACACCTGGACACGGCTCCCTCCCTGCCCCTCCAGGCAGGGTGCACCGAGGAGGCTGTCAGGAGAGGAATGAGCCTGGAGTGAGCCATCCACTGGCTCTCCGGCACTTGGAGAGCAGCAGCAGGCAAGGATGGACGTGGTCGACAGCCTTCTCGTGAATGGGAGCAACGTCGCTCCCCCCTGCGAACTGGGGCTCGACAACGGGACGCTGTTCTGCTTGGATCAGCCCCGGCGCTCCAAAGGTAGGTGCCACAAGCGATTCTTTTAATTCAGGAAACTACTGAGTTCAGGGAGAAGTCAGCACAGGCAAGACTGATAAAGAAAATATAATAAAGTCATTGTGAGACAGTCAGATGTGCCAAAGTCTGGCTAGAAGACCAAAAGCAGAGGAAAGTCAAAAGAGTGGTATTGTGTGTCGTGGGAGAGTTGGAGACGTGTGTGCAGGACAGGAAGGGGACAAAGGCAGCGGGAGGCAGAGCTGAGAGCAGCAAGAAAGGAGAACAAGTGTAGAAGCCTGGACTTACACGCCGGACAGAAAGGGCACTGTCACAATTCAGCAGTGGCCTTYTCTTGGGGAAACCCGGCGTGAAGAAGCAATTAAAGCAAAATAATGGTCAGTGTCTAGGAGAGAAAGCCCTCACGATTCAGAAGCGTTGTCCTTAAGAAAAAGGGTTTCCCGGGGCAGCTCTTTTAACAGACCAACCTTTTAGAAGCAACCGAATCACACGGTGCTTCTCTCAGTTTGTTTCTGCAAAAACGATGGATGTCAGTTCAGGAATATTTGGGTTTGAAGATGCCCACCCGTAGGGGCACAGGTTGGCAGGAAGGAGCCATCCGCTTGGTGCGCTGAGGTTTTAACATTCTGCTCCCATCACCTCGTCCCTCCCGGCAGAGTGGCAGCCGGCAGTGCAGATTTTCCTGTACTCCCTGATATTCCTGCTCAGCGTGCTGGGGAACACGCTGGTCATCACCGTGCTGATCCGGAACAAGAGGATGAGGACCGTCACCAACATCTTCCTGCTGTCCCTGGCTGTCAGCGACCTCATGCTCTGCCTTTTCTGCATGCCCTTCAACCTCATCCCCAACCTGCTCAAGGATTTCATCTTCGGGAGTGCCGTTTGCAAGACCACCACCTACTTCATGGGTGAGTTGCTGCAGGTGACTATTTCTAGAGTTCTCCCCAGACCCCTGCTCATCCCAGAGCTTCCCAAGCCCTGGTAGCCAGGGCAGGGGAGCCCCATTGAGTTTGAAAACACAGAGCACGTGGCTGTGTCCGGCTGTGCACAAGGACAAGGACGCTGGCAATGGTTAAATGGTAGGACAGTTGGTTCCTTGTTGTGTGTCAGAAGTTGATGTGGAAACACAGAAGGGGTTGTTTCTGTTCTCTTCGAGTTTCTGTTCTGTCTGTGCCTTTCTGGATGCCATTCATCGTATCCTGATCTCTTCCCAACTTGAACTTGGGTCAGGGCTTCGAGGGATGGTAAGGGTCATGGAGAAGGGTTCTCTGAGGTTGGGCCTCTTATTTTCTTAGGGAACAAGGTTATTTTGAGCCAGTTTTATCACAGGTCTAGTTTTTCTCTCAGGATTCACTTCCCAGACTGTTCCCCCTCACAGGGCTAGGACCTGCTCAGGCAGAGAGAGAGAGTCTCTGTCCCTGAAGAGGAGTAGAATGTGTTCTGGGGGCAGTGGTCAATGAAATGACCCTGACTGGCTGGGATAGTGCAGCTCTCTGCTAATGCAAATCAAAATTAAAATGTGGATTATTGAACAAATCTCAAGAGCTACTATCTTGTGGGTGCTTTTAATGCATCCGATGTTGTGCTAAATGCTTTTATTTCCATGGACCTGTTTTATCTTCCAACCACCCTACGGAGTAAGTACAGTTATTCTTCCCTTTCTCATCAGGAAGGAACAGAGCATAGAGAGTCAAAACTGTGCCTGAGGACACACGGGCGGGCGCTAAGTGACACAGCAGGGATTTGACCCAGGTTAGCAGCCACCACAGTGTGAGCACACGGCATTAGTTTGTCAACTTCTGTAGTTCTCCTGAAGCTGAAAAAAAAAGAAAGAAAGAAAGAAAGAAAGAAAGAAAGAAAGAAAGAAAGAAAGAAAGAAAGAAAGAAAGAAAGAAAGAGTTTCTTGGTCCCCTGTGTCTGCCAGATTGCCTTGTCCCTTGCCTGTTGTGCAAACTCATTGAGAGAAAGGGAGAAATGGAAATGAGAGGGGATTTGTTTTTAGTTCTGACCCAAATCTTATAAAATATACAGCACTGAGCTGGTGAGGGCAGTCCTCAATGACTGGAAAGCTTTAAAAGCCTTTATTTTTCCCCACTGAGGAAGCGGGATCCAGTACAGACAAAATGAAGATGAATTGCTGAGCCTCGTGCCAGGGACAAGTAACCAAGAACACGTCAGCCGAGTCCAAGGCTGACTCTGAACTTATCATTTAGAAAAGGACTTACAAATGACAAGGATCACTGTTAAGCAATGAAGCGCTAACAATGGCGAACATTCCAGAGTGCTTTACATTTGCAAGTCCTGTCCACATACACCGTAGGGTCCTTCTGTTTGAGAACCTTCCTCAGGGTGCATGAAAGATCGAAAGGGATCTTGCTTTCATGGTTGCACAACGTTATGAGCACCAGGAAAGGGTTTGTCTTTAAATGGTTAACTTTGTGTTATGTGAATTTCACTTGGCTTCTAATAAGCAAACTTTTAAATTTTTAAAAATTACAGTAGGGAAAAAAAAGAAAAATTAAATAACCAAAATAGGAAATCAAGACAATTCAGAAAGTATTTGGAATGTCATAGTGACTTTGTTAGATTTTTAATTTCAGCGATTTAGAGTCTTCTGTCAAATTTGTGGTCTTCTCAATATTAACAATGAATACTCATTAAACTACTAATTTGTAGCAAAAGAAAGAAAGAGAGAAAGAAAGAAAGAAGAAAGAAAGAAAGAAAGAAGAAAGAAAGAAAGAAAGAAAGAAAGAAAGAAAGAAAGAAAGAAAGAAAGAAAGAAAGAAAGAAAAGAGTGCTTGCCCGACAGTGTGAAAGTGGGTTTTACAGTTACCCAGTGTGGACCCATTACACAAGCTGATAGAGTCTGGGGCTGTCCTGTCCACTTTAGTGTTGTTCTGTAGGGTGACGTCCAGGAAGACACAGCAAATCCTACACCAGAACAAACCAGTCGGTCAATGGTTTGGGGATTGATAGAACTTCTTTAAGACTCTAAGGACAGCTAGGCTAGGCTCCCTAGAAAAAGAATTTTTGTACATAGCTAAAGATAATTAATTTATATCCATACACATGGTAAGTTGCCAGGTTAAGAACCTCTGTTCCTAATTCTTTATTAATTCTGAGATTTAAGAAATCATAGTGGGCATAAAAAAAATAAAAAATAAAAATTTCAATCATAAAAAAAAAAAAAGAAATCATAGTGGGGCTGAAGGCCTAGCTCAGTGGTAGAGCACTTCCTTAGCATATCCAAGACCCTGAGATTATCCCCAGCACCAAAAAGAAAAAAAAAAAAAAATCATAGTAAGAGGAAATGATAAGAGTCAACAGAAGTCATAACTGAAGGATTCAAGGGTAATTTAAAGACATTATAATAAACATATATACATAATATAAAAATTAAGTTTTTTGACTATGACCAAGAACATGTTTTGAAGTGAGATATATTTCCCACTATAATGGTGATGTACACTTAATAAAATACAGAAAAACAAAAGAACAAAAAGGAAAACCCTAGTTCTCTCATCTGGAGAAACCTTTAATTGTACTATGGAATATTTCTCTTGCATTTTTTTTTACTGAATATTCTTTTCAACAAACTATATTTTAAAATGTAGGATGTTTCAGTCTTAAAAATAACATGTACTAGAGCCTTCCAAAAATTAATGCTTCTAGCTCAAATCCCAGTGACCTTTTGGGTCAGAGCCCTGAGAGTCTTGGGTTTTTAAGGTCAATTTAACCAAACAGATCATGTGTAAAATCAGAGCTTTTCTTTAGGTTTCTGTGTAGGGGCGCCATATTTTTATCCCCCTGTTATTAATTAATGAGCACCCTCAGCCTAGGCAAGAGTTCAATTGCAATCAAAACTCAATAAACTTATCTCAACATTGGCAAGGAGATGTATTTGCAAATACATTTTGTTAACTGCCTTAAATCCTTTCAGAACAAAGCTGGGAATAGATCATCTTTCTGAAATATGCATGCACAGTATTTCTTTACCCCTGGAGCATTCTCYTTTGAGATTAGACCTGTGCAGATCAGATATGCTTTTATGCTTTTGCTAAAGTGCAAATAAACTTTGGATTTCAGTGCCAACATAATCAGCTTCTTTCTTCCTTCCCAGGCACCTCTGTGAGTGTTTCCACCTTTAATCTGGTGGCCATATCTCTGGAGAGATATGGTGCAATTTGTAGGCCCTTACAGTCCCGCGTTTGGCAGACGAAATCCCACGCTCTGAAGGTGATTGCTGCTACCTGGTGCCTCTCCTTTACCATCATGACTCCGTACCCCATTTATAGCAACTTGGTGCCTTTTACCAAAAATAACAACCAGACCGCAAATATGTGCCGCTTCCTACTGCCAAATGATGTTATGCAGCAGTCCTGGTAAGGAGGCACTGTGTTTATTCTTTTTTTAAAATATAACTTGATACATCTGCAGCATGAAAATCTGGAATGCCTTGGCCAGAATACTTGGGGGATCAGGGTCCTGGAGACTTTTTGAGTTGCTAACCTCTAATGAGGCATTCTAACCTCATCCTACAGTAAGAGTAAGCAAACGCACAGCTGGAAAGCTCTTTTTAAAATGCCATATGTAGATTGCTTCAATCTATACTATTGAAACCCTATAGGGTAGATAATATCACTGTGCCCATTTTACAGATGAGGGAACAGAGTCCTGGAAAGGTCAAGTGGCCTAAACTCATAAACCAAATTCACATGGAGCAGAGTCTCTGTGCTTAATGACTCTGCAGTATGCTTGCAGAAGGTCTAGTGGAGGTTTAAGCCAGGTGACTCAGAAAGCTACAATTTTCTAAGAACTGAAGATAGAACAGAGAGTGACTCCCAGATCCCGTGTGACTATTAGAGCTGTGTTGTGATGCTTGCCCAGAACACTTGACCAGAGAAAGGCGAGATTCTAATACCTGTTCCTTGGCTTACTAGCTGGGTAACTCTGGGAAAGTTCACACAGTGCCCTAGGCCTCAGGGTCTTCATTTCTGCAAGGGATTAGTACAATAAATCTATCGTATTGGGTGGCTCTAAGGCTCCCGTAAGAACATGAGTAGAAAAAATGTCTTTATAAAGAGGTGATACAAATACAGAGAATCATGTTTACTAATTCCAAGGATGTTTTAGAAGCCAGAAGTAGGCATTCAAAAACAGAGGCTCAAGACGGAGATCATCTCTGCTTTCTCTGCCTTCCTCCTTCATTTTAACCGGGTAGCACACGCACCCACAAAAAGAATTATGCTACATGGGCTGGGGGTGTGCTCAGAGGTAGAGTGCTCACCTAGCATGTGTGAGGCACTGGGCTCCATTCTCAGCACCACATAAAAATAAAAAAGATATTGTGTCCACCTATAATTTTAAAAAAAGAATTATGTTACAAAGGAGAGGGATATTTCTAAGACTTGAAAGGGAATCTTATCAACATGTCCAGTTGTGAGGAGAAATGGCCCAGCCGCGGTCAGCCYCTGACAATTTGATGGCCTAATTGTGCAGCCTTGCACTTGCCAGGCTGCAGAAGTGATTTAGGGGCCGGACTCATAGAGAGGAGGCCGCAGTGCCTCGGGAAACAAATGTGTTTAGAGGAAGCAGAGTTCTACCCAGCCAGGCACTCTACCAAGCATGCCACCGTGGAGAATAAACACCCAAGGAAATCTTTGAGCTGCTGGGGGGTCAGAAAGAGAGAGGATGCCATATTTCATAAAACAAAAAGGRGATTTTCTATCATCCCTGTGTAGGCATATGATTATTCTCTTGCTATAAAGTCAACAAACTGTGTATTGTGATGCTTATGAGTAGTGACTCCAGCGTCGTATTGCTTGGGTTCAGATTTCAACTCTGTCACTAGCTGCRTGACTTTAGACACGTTATTTAGGTCTCAATTTCCTCTTCTCTGAAATAGGAATTAGAATAATAGTGTCTACTTCAAAGGTTATTATGGGAGTTAAATGTACTATTTTATGTAAAATGCTTAATCTGGTGTGTAGCACATATTACAAATCCTCAATGAATGTAATCTCTATTATTATGATTATTAATTTTGGTAACATAATATATAAATCACATATTCTCATTTTTAAGCTATTAATATTTTTAATGTATTTTTAATTTATTCTTTTTAGATATACATGCCTATAGGATGTATTTTGACATATCATACATACATGGAGTATAACTTCCCATTCTTGTRGTTGTACATGATGTGGAGTATATTCATGTATGAACATACGAAAGTAATGTCCGATCCATTCTACTCTCTTTCCTATTCCCATCCCCTTCCATGTTATTGTCTTTTTTTTTTTTTTAAGACAGGGTCTCCCTAGGTCACTTAGGCCATCCTCAAGCTTCTCTACCCTCCTGTCCCAGACGCCTGACATCTGGGGTCACATGCATACATCACCAAGCCCAGATTTTCATTATTTTCTAACACGTAAACTTGTTCCAGGCACAAAATCATGCCAACCTTTTTCAGTTTGACCAGTCCTTCACAAGACGTTCCATCTAAAAAAAGAAAAGAAGAAAACAACTTCTAATGACGGAACCTCCAGACATGGAATTTTCAAGGGTATTAAAGACTAGTAATGAATGTGTCTGCTCAGACCAGCTCAAATAAAGATGCCCCTARATCATCCCTTCCCATTTGAGTCTGAAGGTCCAGAGTTGCTGGTAATTGGATTTCTTTCAATTTTATTAGGCACACGTTCCTGCTGCTCATCCTCTTTCTTATTCCTGGAATTGTGATGATGGTGGCGTACGGATTAATCTCTTTGGAACTCTATCAAGGAATAAAATTTGATGCTAGCCAGAAGAAATCTGCTAAAGGTAAATATCTTTTAACTGTCTGTTTACGTCAAAAGAGCATGAAAGCGTGTTGTCTTGACTTGAGAGGACACACCAGACCCTTCACAGAGTATACWGAAGTCTTTGAAGACAACTCTTATGAAACTCTGTGTCTTAGGCCCAGGATTGGTTCCCACCCTCTATTTCTTCATCTATAAGATGGGGAAATAATTCCTTTCAAAAGGGCACCAAGAGGAATAAAAAGAGATAGTACACATATCACCCAATTATCAGCAGAGAGCCTCACGTCCCAGACTTTCCGTCCCCCTGTATTCAAGTGGACACCCCGCAATAACCAAAGCTGATTATAMTCCTGGCCTGTGTTTGGGTCTCTCCAAAGGCCTCAGAAGAAATCTGACAGACACTCCACAAGCCCCATCCTCTCTCCCCCATCTCATGCTCACTCTGCAGTAACCACAAAGCCCGACCCCTTCCCCACTCACTAAAATTGTACCAGCACCTGTGTTGACATAGCCTGTGCCTTCTCACTCCACCTCCTCACTTGGCTTTTTACTACGTAGATAACTTAGTCTCTCTGACTTCTGTGGGTTTCCTTGACTCTTTCTCACCATCTCACAATAAAAACTCTCTGAAACTTAGCAAGCAAGCAGGAGCTTCCCCTAGGGACTAGGAAAGACAGGAAAATTATCTAATAATTTCTATCCTTATACTATTTTGTCCCAGGTATTATTATACATTGTGTCATTCACATATATTATTAAAATTACATTACATTTTATTTGTGTACACACACACACACACACACACACACACACACACACACTAGTTTTAAGTGGCTTTTCATTCCAAGGAGAGAACTAGTACGGATCAATTCTTACCCAAGGTCAGTGTAGGTGAAGGTGACCTTGATTCTCCAGTTCAGGTTTGTCTTGGCCTCCCAGATGGAGGGAGGCTGAGGCTCCATGCCCTCTGTCTGGCATGACCCTTCCTGAGCAATAAGTGATGTCCCTTGCCCTCCCAGAGAGGAAACCGAGCACGGGCAGTGGCAGCCGATTCGAGGACAGCGACGGCTGCTACCTGCAGAAGTCCCGGTCCCCGAGGAGGCTGGAGCTCCAGCAGCTGTCCACCCGCAGCGGCAGCGGCAGGCTCCACCGCGTCCGGAGCAGCAGCTCGGCCGCCAACCTGATGGCCAAGAAGCGGGTCATCCGCATGCTCATGGTCATCGTGGTCCTCTTCTTCCTGTGCTGGATGCCCATCTTCAGCGCCAACGCCTGGCGGGCCTATGACACCACCTCTGCCGAGCGCCACCTCTCAGGGACCCCCATCTCCTTCATCCTCCTGCTCTCCTACACCTCCTCCTGCGTGAACCCCATCATCTACTGCTTCATGAACAAACGGTTCCGCCGCGGCTTCATGGCCACCTTTCCCTGCTGCCCCAACCCGGGGCCCCCGGGGGCGAGAGGAGAGGTGGGAGAGGAGGAGGAAGGCAGGACCTCGGGGGCGTCCCTGTCCAGGTACTCCTACAGCCACATGAGCGCCTCTGCTGCACCCCCCTGAGCCGGCCTGCCCTCCACTGCGCTGGGAGGAGGGGGCCAGGGAGGGGGAGGAGGAGGGAAGTGCGGCAAGCAGGCCCCATGTCCTCTGGAAGCCTTCCCTGGCTGCTTTTCATCCTTCCCCCAGTTCCAGAAGGAGATGCACTGGCAGGGGGCAGGGGGCGGGGCCTGACTTGGTTTCCTGGTAGGTCAAGGCAAGACATTCCCAGTGACATTCACCATCAGAGAGCCTCAGCAAGCCCCTGGGAGTCCCCCAGGATCAGGCTGCAAATGTAATTACCAAGCACCTGTTCAAAGGGGAGATTCCCACCCTACTGAGCTTCAGAAGGTTCTGGAACACCCAAGGTGGGTTCTCGCTTCTGGTAGTGATACTTCTATTCTCTGTTTCTTCTGCTACTGAAGAGCGGTGAAAGCTCCTTGCCCCTGGGGAGCACCCTGGGCTTTCACTACATACAGTAACCTCCACCAAGAGAAGCGAAGCAGACCTCCTCTGACCATTTTGGTAGGAAGAGAACAATATGATTTTTTTTTTTTTCATCTTGAAGTTAGTCAGGACAGAGGCCCATGTTGTCATCAGACGAGCAAAAAGCATGTTTTCTGAAACACAGAATTTAGAGCTCATGTTTCCACAAAGAGAAGAGAGCACAAGGAAATAGCCAGATGGAATGGGATCTTACCCTACAGAATGTTGAGCAGCAGAAGGTGCATAGGATGTTTTTTCTACTTTCGTGATCTAGATTGCCTAACTTCTCCTTTATGTGGTATTTAACATCATAATTTCCTTGCCTTAACTAATTTTTCATATTCATCTATACTTCCTCTTCCAGAAGGACTTTCCAGGTACAGGAGAATTGTAAGACCAAGGGTAAAAATGTCTATAGTCAAGCCCCCAAAGCAGACTCATCCTAACTGGACTTAGTCAGCAAACAGCTTTTGAATGCCAACGCTGTCTATGCTTCTAAATGCAACTTGCTAATAACCAGTTAATTGTATGTGTGTGTATACATTGGACATATAATTAAGTTCTTTACATATAAGGAAACTCTTTGGTGTGTTTAAAAATAGAATTAATAATGGATGTTGGAATTCAGCTCTTATTAATCATTTTATTATCCTTCCTAGACATACCAGTTCATGTGAACTTGTTGTTGGCAAGATTAATGTTGAAACCTCTCTCCTCTAAGAAATATTAATTTAAAACAAGATGTTCATTACACACTCAGATACCAAGAAGTGCATTTCTAGAATAGTATGTACCAGTCTAGTCTACCAGCACTGCTTTGTTTTTCTTTTAAGAGTAACCTTGTCCTATTTGTTTAGATAAATTAATAGGGACATCTTTTTAAAAAATGCAGACAACTTTGACAGAAGCATGTTTGCATGCTAGCATGGGAAGTAAACAAGTACACGAATTTTAAAAAAGGAAGTTCCCAGCTTCATGCCTTCAAGTATCTGAGAAGAAGTGAGCTTGTCTTTTGCTTCTTWTTTCAGGGGCCATAACCAAACACTGATCCAGGCCTGATGCTCTGGGTGGTAYAGGGTGAGGGATTTCAATTGTCAAAAAAAAWAAWAATAATAAAAAATTTAAAAAGGTGGAAGGGGAATGAAGAGAGTGACAAGAAATGATGGGTTAAAAGACACTGTAGAATTTGGCAAGATGTAAGCATTGCTTTTGCTTAATAGCAGGTAATCTAAATGGGGATTTTCAAGCTAGAGCATTCCTTCCTCTGACCACAATCTTAAAGATTTCAAGGTAAAAGTTCAACCAACTAAAATGTGTCCTGCTAAAATTGTAATGATAAAAGGCCTAAAAAATAAAAGTATCTCCAATATTTGAGTATGTCCTACACTAGCTACAATTTTCCTGTGAGAAGAATAAGTCTTCTCCTCTGGCAGTAATYAGCATATAAATGAAGATAAATTAGTAATCCCCCACTATTGGAAACCTCTGGAAGTTCCAAAGATACGTTATCCTGAAAATAAAGTTCCCAGATTTAGCTAATAAAAATACAGATGCACAGCTAAATTCTAATAGATAAGCAATCAGTAGTTCTTAGCATGAGTATGTTCCATGCACTAAAATACATCTTGTATTTTATAGAGCAACGCTACCCTGAAAACTTTGAAAAAGCATGTAAAAAAAWATATATATATATAAGATTCCCAACATAAATTAATTTATTGGTAGGTCTTTCGCTTAAGGGAAGCTTTTTTTTTTGTAAAAAGAGGGAAAAAAGCTATTAACTTTCAGAATCTGATCTTTGGAAAGGWTTGTTTTGCTGATTAAAACTTTTTTAATATAATGCTCCTCTCATACTTTGCTTACTGCCTCTATTCCAAGCTAAAGCAGTTTACTAATTTGACTTTAAACTGAATCGGCCCAATAGAGTTAAGAAAACAAGTACATCAGTTTTCTGGCATTTTTCCARTGTCTTTGTCTTTCCTTCATCACCSGAGTGGTGAGTTAGAGCACTGGAATGGAGAGCTGTCTCTGCTGTGTAATTAAATCGTGTGTCTCAGTGACTTCTTGTGCTCCAGTCACCGTGGTAACCTCTCCTCACATACTTTTGGGGGTAAAAAGAGCAGTGCCTGGATTTCCAGAGCTTGGTTACACATGTCCCTGTATGCTTAATAGTGTCCCCTCCGTTCAAGCAAAATGTGATGAGTTGAGCCTCCGTTGTACTTCCCTCCTGTGTTTTGCCAGTAAATGCATACAGTAAGTGTTCAATAAATGTAGTGACTACTGTCACTCCTCCTGTACTTTGGGTGGCCTCCCTTTCTGTCTGCAGCTGTGGGGAAGACTCATTTGTGGGGGTGGGAGAAGCAGAATTTCTACTAGACTTTTCCCAGTCCATATGCATCTCACCCAAGGTCCTGAAGTGGGACAGCGGTGGGAGCTTTCCCTCCCTCTTCCCATAGCCTTGGCTGTGACCTCTCTCTCCTCGGTGGTGTGTGTGTGTAGGTAAAGGGTGAATGTAATCCATGATGTTACTAAGGGAGGTGTCGTTGCTGTTGATGGGGTAACAAGGGCTGGGAGCTCCTGGTGGGTAGAGTCCTTAGCTCTGATATCCCTGATCCCATTGTAAACAGACAGACGGACATTTCTACTTCATGCTCAAGAACCCAGCTCCCCCCTAGGACAGAGGAGGGCTGTCAATGCCCACAGGCCCTGCTGGCTGTTCCTCCCATCCACTTGCACCCCTGCAGGGGCCCTTTGGGAGCCTGGGCCACCCCACTCACGCCGTGTCCACTACTTCCCTGTGGCTGGCTCTCAGCTCCAGACTGGTGCTTCCCTCCCTCTTGGACTGGAAATTTCTGACCTCTCTGACGTCCTGGCCCCCCTCAAGTGGATAGCTTCCCAGATTCCCAGGCCTGCTCCTGCAGACCAGGGCCAGCCCGGCACATGGCACCCCACCCACCAGCTCTCRGAAGCACAGCTGGGTGCAACTGCAGCTCCCCTTCTCACCCAGGAAGAGTTGGACAAGCTCAGATCACCCAGCACTGGGCACTGCTCATGCCCACTACAGACTCTCAGCAAGTGCTTCAGGAATGGAGGGGGATGAGTGAGTGAATGAAAGAAACTGAATAGATTGTCCCCGGTGCAGCCCTTCTCAGGCAGGGCACGTGGGCAGGGCACACCTTCCCAGCCAGGGCTTCCCGGGCAGTGGCAGCGGAGCTTGATCAGGGTGAAGCTGAGCAGAAGTGGCGTTCTCTTTCCTCCCAGCCACACAGTATGTGACATCCAGCACATCATGCTTGCTAGATTGGTGACCCTAAAAACCACTTCTGTGGGTAAAGAGGTAAAGTCCAGAGATCTGTGTCCCAATCTCAGTGACTGTCACTAACCGGCTGGGCGGTGACAGGCTAAGTCACATCCCCTGCCTGGGGACCCCTCTCCTCCTGTGCATATTGGGGTAGGAGGGGTTGTGGCTTCATATCTGATGCTGTGTGACTGGGAGGGGCAGAGTTGGCTGTCCTTTATCGTCCCCACCTACCCCTTTAATTTCGCTGGCTTTGTATTGGCTTAGTGATTAGAGCAGGTCCTTGACACCCAAGCTTACAACCGCCTCTGAGGAAGACTGTCGGGGAGAGGGGCCAAGTCCCAGAAAGGAGTCTCCCAGCTCCCAGCTCTTCTAGGTCACAGCTTCCCAGAGCGACTGGTGGAGGCTGAACCCTGAACACCAGCCCCATTGCTGCTGAAATATGGAAACAAAAATCCACTCCCCTAATAAATTCGGCCGAGGAAGGACAGGGACACCAACATTTATTGAGCCCTGGTCCATCTAGGCAAGTCTCTGTGACAAAGGTGACAGCAATGAATGAATGTTACATGTGGATTCTTATTTAATTATGCCAACAACACATACAAGGTACCATGTTCCACATCTCGCAGGTGAAGAAACTGAGGCTCAGAGTGTGAGGTAACAGGTCCAAGTCAGACAGCCAGTACGGGAGGAGGACAGGAGAAGCCCCATTTTAACTCACCAGGCTGCTGTTGAGAAGAGGGACATTCATTATTCTAAGTGACCAACAGATGGCTGTGTAGTGCCCTGTAGTGATTTCCAGTTCCTGGTCCTTGTGTGGTCACAATCTTAGGGAAGGAAGTCCCCRTCTTGCCCCCTCTCCTGCCTTCCCTGTGGACAGTTAGCCCTCACTCCAGCCCCTGCCTGTGGATGACCTGAAAGCTGAGTTTTTGTGCCTGTGTCCTGGATGCTCTTTCTCTGTGTTTAGGAGGAAGATAATACACTTGACCACCTCACAGGAGAGCCAAGAGATAGGATAGGTGAACGAGCTTCCACGGCTTGGCAAATTGTCAACGTTATTAAGACAGATCTGTTTTCTCAGAATTATCAGAAAGGAGACAACATGGGCCAAATCAGCCTGCAACTCACCTCTCACCTTTCCGTAGAGTCCCCCTCAACAGGGGATCATGTTTCCTTCCCAACCTTCCTTCCAAATCAGTCAGAACAGAACCATTGCTATTCTCCCACCCTTCCTTGTGCTCATGTCTTCCCTGGTTGGGAATATTCCCCCTTATCTTCAGCACA